TCACAGATGACAGTCATTTGTGACGGGCTTCTTTTAGGGCCCAATTGAGATATGGAACCCTCATCTCAATCGGGCCTCAATTATGGCCCGTCACAGATAAGTGTCATCCGTGACGGGTTTTAGTTTTATGCCGATCTATCATGGCTGTGCGACCATATCTCAATCGGGCGAAACTTCGGCCCGATTGAGATTACTTCCTCCCGCAAATTCCTGTCTTGTTAGGGGCCATCACAAATGGAAGGATCTGTACTAGTGTAATCTACTCGCTACCCAAGTATTGGATGATCTCATGCATGATGCATCAACAGACCTACCACTTGGTATATACTAAATTCTATGACCAACTATCTACTGAATCCCTACATTTACAAAACTACCAACATCAAAACTCAAAAGAGCAATACAAAATCAGTATATCAGTCAACAAGGGCAATCTTTCATTACATCAACAATCATATTCAGCACATGGCAACTTATACATTGAATATGAATATCATCAATTTCCTTCAGCAAAGCACCAGATGAAGTACTGGTCGGCCGGCGGATTGATGGACGAGGCGGCGCAGAGGAGCAGCCTGCCACCGCCGCCGGCGCGGAGGGAGAAACTAGCACCTACCGACGGTGGTGGCGTGGAGGGAGCAGCCTTGGCTCGGATGGGTGGTGCATGGTGGTGGGCATCGCTGCTGGCAAATGGATGGACGTACGGGCGGCGACGAGATGGAAGGACAGGACAGCGCCGGCCGGGATGGATGCACCGGCGGCGCGCGGGAAGAAAATGGGCCCACGCGCCAAAAGCTGACGTTAGTGATGCGGTTCTACCAAACGCATCACTTGTATAGGGTTACCCGAGGTAGAGACGCGGATCGTAATAACGCGTCACTAATATTATCCACAATAGTGACGCGGATTGTAAAACTGCGACTCTGGTATATGCTCATACTATACCCATCTCTGGAAGACCCACATGTCAGAGACGCGTCTCAACAAGAGCCGTCACTATGTCAACTCCAGTGATGCGTTTTGTGGAGACACATCTGTGATATGCCTCCCCTGGGCTGGCATATGACCGGGGTGAACTAATTAGTGACGCGTCTTGTACCGATACGTCACTGAAGTCATATTTGAGACGTGTGACAAATTCGCGTCACTAAATTGTGTCTTCTTTATTGGGTTTTGACGTAGTGGTATGTGAGAGGAGTTTCATCACCATGAAACTCCTTTGGCTCAGTTACCTAGTTTCTGGTCTAGGTAACCGTGTAGTGAAACTGTGCAGTGAGACTGGCCTTAATTGATAGAGCACCGTTTATTTCCAACTTGGAAACCATTGCGGCAGGCAGGCTATGTACACAAATGCCAGCTTGTGCATGTCCTCCCTGTGCGAACGCGCACCGTACGTCGTCGTGCCCGCAGTACCGTGGCATCATATCAAACAGTGAGTTATTGACGCAAAAATCAGGCGATGATTGTTCACGTAAGCATCACGCGACATAGGTTCGGGGTCAGAGGTTTGCTTCACTCCAATGATGAGCCTGCAAATCTTGAGGTTCGGGGCATAACAGTCAATTTGACCTGTAATTGACAAGGGATAAAGAGTGTAAAATTCACAGATCGGCTATGATTCCGAACTGTCTTCGAAAATTATATCGGCTAGAATCAGCCGATGCGTAGTTTAAAGTCCAAATCCAAGTCTAGATCGGCTATGCGCTTAAAAGCTTTGAAGCCGATGAGAAGCTCGTAAGTGGACTGGATAAATTGTGATAAAAGCTAAAGCTTAAAAAATTTAAATAATTAATCTATTAAGATTTAACAAATATCGATAACTTGGTGAACGTATGGATAAAACAGAGCAAAGAAAGCCTATAAGACAACTTTGATTGGCAGGACAGACACGTTCGATAAATTGTGTAACAACTAGATCAAGACAAAACGATGCGTTTAAGCCCTAAATCTAGTATATACGATAACTCTTAGGAGAAACTAGATCAAACTACAGCGATACACCCGGAAGTTTAAATCTAGATGCACCAGATAAAAGCGGAACTTACAGGCAAGCCGGAGATCAAGATGATGCAGCCCTGCTTAACTTGAAAGAACTCGTTGATGAACTACTAAAACTAGGGTTTGAAAATAAATTGCAATGAAAAGTAAGAACTTGTTTGTTTGATTGGTAGGTAAAGACTTTTTACAAAGCCATCAGGCTATTATTTATAGTTTAAACTAAAGACTCCTTGTCGACTACGACTTACAAAACTTGACCGAAAAGGAATTACAATTTCCTAAAATAAAGACTCTCCTAATACAAGCCGAACTCTTCGTGGCCCCACAATGCCATACGTCGACTAATCCTTCAGTCCTTTACTGGCTACACGCTACGTCGGCTCCATCGGCTGCATGCTTCATCGGCCTCAGCAGTTTTATTGGCTATGTCAGCTTCATCGGCTTGCTCCATCTTTGACTACATTTTGACCAGTTTGATGTAAAAAAGGTGTCAGCACATGCCCCCCAATTTCGGAATAAAATATGGATTTGTTCCGAAATTCTTTCAAGTCATGATTGCACCCTTTCCTCAATTCTTGCGCCACACAGCGATTGGTCTCTTGTGTCTTGCACAAACGACGCCTCGAAAATCGAGCCTTATCTCCCACCGCAAGCCTATAAAGCCCCACTCGACTGCCCCCTTTCTTCTTCCTTCACTTTCGCCATTTCCAAACAGAGCCCGCTCTCAAGATCCCATCTGCCCAAGTTCAAGAACTCCTCCTCAAGAACAAGATTTTTACCGCAGCAAGCTTCTCTAGTCGACTCTCATGGCTTCCATCAGGACAATCCCCGAATCCATTTCCCATCCTCTCATCTTCTTTACTCATCTTCCGCCATTTTTCTGATTTCAAGCTTTTCTTTCCTCTTTTCTGTTTTTTCATCTAGAATCTGAGAGATAGGATTATCATCGCTTTGGAAGATAGACCTGGCCTAGTATGTTTAGGACCGATGGGCGATCTAGACCCCACAGATCCGATTAATCTAGAAATAGGTCGTCTGCCCTTCAAACATGCAAATTTGGATCTATCACGGTGGTCAAATGCCTTCAGATCTTGGCCAAGCCCCATTCCTGGATGGAGGAACTGGTACCTCCGCGTCTCTGAAGCTAAGAGTACCATATGGGAAGTTTATGATATAAACCAGTGCATTAACTTTTCCCTCTTCAACATGGCCAAAAATGAATCAATGTTAATAGTTGCTGCCCACTTCTGGTCTGACGCCATGAACGCCTTTCTCTTTGGACGTGGGTCGATGACTCCAACCTTGATAGATGTCATCATGCTAACATCACTTAACATATCGGCTCTGGACAATCCTTTCCACCTCATGACCAAACCCACTTATCAACTGAAAACCAAGGACGCCGGAGGTTGGAAAGGTTACATGGCTCACCACATGAAGACAAGCACCGTCACTGATAGGGATCACGTTGCATTCCTCAACATGTGGCTAGAACGCTTCATATACTGTGGAAAAACTGTCGGCCCGACCACAAATCCCCAGGCGATAACAGAAGCACTTGTGTCTGGCCACTCCATCCCTCTGGGCAAGCATCTGCTAGGCTCAGTATATTCGTTGTTGCACAATGTATCGGCTAAGCTAGCTACTGGTCAGCCGATCACCAATCCTGGAGGACCTTGGTGGTTGATCAACTTATGGCTCAATCTTTATATGCACAAGACTCTCCAGCAAGACCCCACTTCTATGAGTTTCTGTCACACCCTGAAAATTTCTATTTTGATTTGCGAAATTGAAAATTCGGGATAATCAAAAATCTTCTCCAAAATCAGTCATGCTGGATTTTATTGGATTTTATCTCCCATTTTTCGGTTGCGCTTGGACCACGAGGACAGAAATCTAGGGACAAATTTATTTAGATTCAAATATTATTTGTTAAGAGAACCATGATTATGAAATATATTAATTAAGAAAATATTTAAAAAATACTATTTATCTTTCTGAAACCCCTTTTCGGTGAAATAAAACCTATTTGATGTATTTGATGTATAAACAAAAATAAATACTAAATATTTAGAAAACATACTTTGAGAGATATTTCCTCGAGAAAACTATTTTTACAAATGAGGGCTAATATTAGTTAACTTCTGAAAACCCTATTTTGAAATTATAAGTGTTTGGAAATTATTTTACAATGAAAGACAAGAAGGAATTTACTAGGAAAACTCAATTTACGAACTAAAATCTTAAAAGAATTTTATTTCAAAAGAACTCACGGAAAAATCTTAGCTTTCCTCCTTGAAAGGCCAAGCCGACCCACATAATGGGACTTGTGTTATTTGTGTGCATTCATATGTTTGTACCAAAGATCTCAGTTAATCCATCAATCCTTGTGAAATCCCTCCTATGTCCTCTCAACTCTCTATCCGTCCTGTCCTTGAATCGTTGGAATACCGCAGTCAAATCATTCCTCCTAAAGGATGTCCTTCGATCGACGTCCTTCCCTTTTGCTAAGCGCTTCGATGATAAGCTAATCGAAGTCCTGGAACATGTTCTTTTGCCGCAACATCATTTCTTTTCCCCAACCCTTGGAACCTTGCGATTGAATCGAGACCTGCTTCGTCTCTTCAACTTGGCCTCCCTCGGATCCCCTCCTTTCCTAGTTTCATGCTACTCAAAAGTCCTTGAGTGCGGCTTTCGCTTAAAACCCTAAAGTCGTTCGGCATATTTAATTGTCGTACGTAATTCTTTGATCCTCCACCCTATATCAACTTTTGAATCCTGCCACAACGTATGGGTTTGTGTGCCATACGCCGCTCCTAATCCTATCATTGATATCATCCCTACCTTTGGAGCTCTACTGCGTCCGATGGATTTGTATGCCAAGCATCGTTCTAAAATCCGTCGATATAGCGGTCCTTTCATTCAAGCGGTTGCCAAGAAAACCTAAGTTAAATACTTGGGCAACTGAGAGGCCGATTCGAATCCAATCCAAATACCCAAAATTAAACAGTCCGTGCACAATCCCAAATCTCGGCTCAAAGTCACTTGTCCAATTATACAGTCCATTTACAACCATACAATCCATTACATGTTTACAGGCAATCTACAAATTCCAATTTCAAGTCCCAGTTACAAATTCCTTGTTATAGTCATTCAAATACTCCTATTGCTTGGGCTTTCCTGTTCTCAGCCAACCCAACAGCTCATTACAGCATAAGTCCGTTCTGCGTCCCCTGCCCCATTGTAGCCGAGTCTTCTTCCCCTCCTTCCTTGCCTCAGTCGGCCAGGCCGACACGCCGCCCGCCACGTGGTCGGCAAAATGCCGAGCCGAGCAAGGCTGGCGCACCAGGTCACCGAGCCACCGCGACGTGCCGCACCGCTCCTCCTCCTTGCGTGCGCCGCATTGCGCTCCCGCGCTGAGTCGCACCGCACACCGTGTCGCGCCGCACCACGCGGCAGCACGAGCAGTGTCGTGCGCCGCCCCGAACTAACGTTCAACGCACGCACGCCGGGGAGGGATTTTGTACTTTATGCCATCTTCCCCAACGCCTCATTCCCAAATGCCATCCTCCTGAACATCCTCGCTAATTTGCCATTGACCCCACAAAACGGTTGATTCTATGCCATTTTCTTCCCATTTTGACGCCACATCAACAGCGGACGTGGAATCTCGATGGTGAATTGGCCGTCTTGCCCCTGTGGTGTGTGGACACATGAAAGCAACACAGAATAAAGCAGGAATTTTGGATCTTACCACGATGGCCACTCAGACGGAACCATGCCTCCTTCTCAACAAACCCTAGACTATCAGATCTTAAAAAAAAACAAGTGAATCCGGAGAAAAAAGTGAGGGAAACAGATGCCAAACTAAACCAAAAGAGGGGAAGATGGTGGATCTATCGATCTCCTACCTGGGATTGCTGTCACGGTTTGGCCGCCGTCGCTGCTCGGTGGATTCGTAAGCGGCTGCTCATGTTTTTTAGGGGAGGCGGAGTGAAACGACGAAGAAACAACGCCTTTTTCTGTCCACGCGCGCCAAGGGGCAAGATGGACATTTCACCATCCGAATTCCACGTCTGCCGGTGTGGTGGCGTTAAAATTAGAGGAAAATGGCATAGAAACAACAGTTTTGTGGGGCCCAGTGGCAAATTAGCGAGGATGTTCAGGAGGGTGGCATTTAGGAATGAGGCGTTGGAGAAGATGGCATAAAGTCCAAAATCCCCGCCGGGGAGCCGCACTGGCGCAGCCCCTCCTACGCCATGCACCCAGTCCACATAATCTCTGCCCCAAACACCAAAAGCACAGTGAGGATGGTTCACGCCGAATAGAAGAGCCGAGTCCACACCGAAAAGGGGAGAGCTAGTTCTCTAATCTCAGAGGCGAAGCTTACCCTGTACTTCCTCCGTAAAAAAAAAAACAAACCCTAGATTTATATGTCCAACGTTTAGCTGTCCGTCTTACTTGAATTTTTTTATAATTAGTATTTTCATTGTTGTTAAATGATAACACATGATTAATACTTTATGCGTGACTTGTCTTTTTAATTTTTTTCATATTCTTTTCAAATTTTCAAATGAAGGTTAAACGTTACATAATGAAATCCAGGGTTTTTTTTCTTGGACGGAGTAAGCCTTACCCTGTGGATGTCGGCATCTCATCGCCGTCCATCCCATCCACCGCCGACACGTGCTCCACTGTGTCGATGTCGACGCCCGGGCCCACGCCGCCGCCGTCCAAGCAATGGGCGCGCGCCACATCACCTCTGCCTTCCCCTTTCCTTCCCCCTCGAAGCCATCCGCATCACCAAGCAAATCAATGGCTAGAGAAGCCGCCTCACTCCACCATCCTCCACTGTCGCCACTCCAATCCCCGCCGCCACCTTCGTATCATCACCCGTCGGCTAGGGCGCACGGACGAGCAGCTTGTGGGCGCCACGCCGCTCGGACCCGTGTGCCACGGGCCACAGCCGCTTCGCCACAACCTCGTCGGCCATCGCTTTGCCGCCACACTCCTCCACTTCCCATCGCCGCCTCGACCTCCGCTCGGCCGAAGGACCCTCGGGGCCGGTGCCGCCGCACACAGCCACATCGGCCACGTGAGCAGCTCCCGCGAACGCCTCCATCACCGCCCATCCGAGGGGCTACTGCAACCTCCGCCGCCATCGTCACCTTGATCTGGGTCACCGCCGCTCCGAGTGGAGTACCGCCTGCCGCAAGCGCCGCCCCGCGCGCGGCCAAGTCATCCCGCACGCCTCCGCCCTTGCGCGTGGCGGCGTCACCGTGCCGGGACGAACGCCGTCACCAGGTCGCCGACCACGGACACGGCCTCCTCTTGCCGTCTCCCTGATCTCCACCGCCCTCCCTCCACCACGCTGGCCGGCCGGAGCTCAGCCGGGCACAGCCCCGCCGACAGCGCCGAGGCAGTCTCCTCCTCGTGCCGCCACCTCCTCTTCTCCGCCGTCGCCGTCGTCCCTGGCTCCCGGACGCCGGCCGTGCCGCCGCGCCAAGCGCCGAGCGCCGTCGTGCCGCCTCTTGCCACGCCGCCCAGCCCGAGCAGCCAGCGCCCCAGCCTCCCTTTCCCCACCGGCGCTGCTCCCTTATTCCACTCTCTTCCCCCCATCGCCGTCCCGTTCCGACTGCCGTCGTTGGCGTCTTCCTCTCAGGCACGCGTGAAGAGGCAGAGGAGAGACCGAGAGAGAGATGTGACGAGAAACCGAGAGTACTCCCTCCGTCCCATAATATGAATTTTGAGTTTTTTTTTTGTTACTTGTAATGTTTGAACACTCGTCTTATTTAAAAAATTTATACAAATATAAAAAATAAAAAGTAAATAATAATTCTAAAAAAGTAAATAATAATTCTAAAATTTTTTGAATAAGACGAGTGGTCAAACACTATAAGCAAAAACTTACGGAGGGAGTAGTAGATAAGAAAGAGAGAGAAGGAATACGAAAGAAAAGAAAAAGGAAAAGGGGGCCGTGGGACCCACCTGTTTGACCCCTTGGAAACCTTTGGCCACCCAAAAAGTCTATATCACCTCCCCAACTTCCTGAATTTTTTCATTTTTAAATTTATTTTTTAATACTTACAGAAATATTATATTAGCGAAAAGATTTAAAAAATAAACCCTGCCGCCCTCCATTTGGGCGGCAAGCTGACGTGGCACACAGGACGGTCATTTTGGGGGACTGCGAATTTTGCACGTGGCCCCCTTGCCGCCCTATGTTTGGGTTGCAAGGGGTCTCCGCGCCAAATTCCCAAAGGCGGGAAAGGGCTCATATGCAAAAAGAACTAGCCAATTGCTTTTTTGGTAGGACAAAAATTGCATTTAACCTCTTGCCGCCCTTACAGAGGGCTGTAAGGGCCTAAACGCAAAATGCACACGGCGTCGTGATAACGTCGTGTACCACATCAGCTTGCCGCCCAAATAAAGGGCGGCAGGGTCTATTTTTGTAAATCTTTCCGCCGATATAATATTTCTGTAAATATTAAAAAAATTAAATTGAAAAATGAAAAAAATTCCCCACTTCCTTGGTTAAGCCAGAGAATCAATCCCACAGAAAAGTCTGTATTATATCCCTCCTCCAAGCTTCGGGCAGTAGCCCAGCAGTAGTATTCATCTCCACCCAAGTCCAATATACCTCCTCCATTCCAGAGAATGACCTTAGGAATATTTCCTCCAAAATAAAAGGAATCCTATTTTGGGTATCCTTTTCCTCGGTTTATAAATCATCTAAACTTCGGAAGTCCATATCTTCCAAACCGTGACTCCGATTGATTCCGTTCAACTTCCGGATTTTTTTCTAAAATCGGGATCTATCCAATGGCACTACTGTTTGGTACTTTATTCGGAGGTTGTTATATGGTTTTCTCGTGCTAACCGCGTATTGGGTATTGCGGATATTCATCAGGCGTGGATTTCTTGAAGATATCGATTTCTAAAAGCAAGGCAAGTCAGTATGCTCCCCTCCTTGAGCATATTGAACCCATTTTATAAATGTTTTGTTTATAAATAAAGTCGCATGCTAATTATAAAATGCGTACCTAAAGTTGTATGTGAACCATCATTGATATTGTTACCTTTATTATATCCTTGTTGCCTGAGTCTTTTATTCATACGTAGTCAAATATTGACATTTGCTTAGTATGGCTTATATATATAGATGATTGTACACTCCATAATAGTTGGATATGGATGTGTTGGCGGTGGTCACTCGTCGAGAGTGATTGCCAGAAGGCGGGTGGAGGCATGAGCGCCACCCGCGACACAAAAACCTTTGCGAAAACCAAAAACCTAATTAGACAAAATGCTTTCGACTGAGGCGGCATGGATAGAATATGGGTGGTTCTGGAAACGGCTAGTCGCCGACCCTGGTCAATTAAGAACCGAGTCAAGAAGGTATGCAGGAAACGATCAGAGTACGACCACACTTCTCGAGTGGGTATAGACCCGGTGGACTAAGAAATTCTCGTGGGACAGCACCACTGCCATGGTGGTTCTGAAGTGGTGACGTTTGTGTGGGAAGTGTGATGGATCGATTGGATCGATCGTTTGAATGCCGCGGCAAAACTTAAAACACACCTCACCTATATGTAATGTAACCTCTTGTGATCCCGGGAGCGCCAGGACTCTCCTCACTACCGGCTCGAGGTGGTGTGTTGTGCCGGGAGTGCAATGGGGATTTATAGTCCTTGGAGCGAGTGCCGAAATGCAAGAATGACTGAAAAACCGGGGCGTGACAAGTCTCATGTGTTGGGATTAGGCTAATGTGTTGGGCAAGTCATGGAGTGCGGGATTAAAAGCGTACATCCACTGCAGTGTGAGTAAATCAAATCTACTCGAATAGCCGTGCTCGCGGTTATTGAGCGCCGGGACTTGTACTACACTTGACTAGCCTCATAGATTTTAATATTGCTTAGATTAGGAAAGTGTTGTGACCTTGCCCGATGGGCGGGAATGTCACGCCCGGAAATTCACTAGTAATTTCCGAACTTATTTGTGCATAAAATCCTCGTCCAGGAATCAGCCGAGGTACACAAACTGACAATTTAATATACAAATCCATCTTAATAATAACGTTACATACTTACAAAGAAAAGAAAACAGCAGCGGAATAACGATCTAGCGACGGCTTCAGCTCCACTCCCACAGGCAGCTCAACTGGGGTATAAGCCAAACGTCTTCTCCTTCTGGATCCTTTATCTTCAACTGAGGTTTGATTGATTATTGCAAGAATGAGCATATGACATACTCAACAAGCCACACAGCAAATATGCAAGTGCACAAGGATACCAAAGGATGGCATAATATAGGCTCATTTGCGAAAGCAGCATTTAGCAAAGAGTTAAGAGTAGTAAAACAGTAGAGTAATTAATTAAAAATTTTAATCAACACTGAACAGCACACCCATGCTGCACAGGCCCAACCATCCTGAACAACCATACCCGGCTGTACAGATCTAACTCCAAACCAGGAGCTAAGCAAATTGTTACCAGTTATAACATCCATAATTATTGTGAGAGGTGTGAGACTAATCACGAAAAACATTGCTCAACCCGCCCATAACCGCGGGCACGGCTATTCGAATAGTTTTACTCTGGCCAGAGGTGTACCACTGTACCCACAAGACACAACCCCACATCATGTCACCATGTGCCTCAATACCACCACGGTACCTCGGAAAGGAGTTGTGACAATACCCCTTGCACAACATAATCCATTACAGCGCACCTTTCCTGGATCATAATCACCCCCTTATAAACAAGGCATGGACTCCCCAGCGACCCCCGTGGACTTCTCGCCACTTCTCAGTCTGGCGCACTCTAATGAATCACGCTACACAAAAGATAAAGCCGTTGCCCACGCTGGCTTGTGGTTGGCACGATAAATGTTTCACAACAGTAGCTCGCGAACCGGTCCTTAATTGTCATGAGCACGACTCTCAAAACCATGTGCTCACAACCCACCATTATCAAGTTTTAGTTGGCAAGTAATTAATTAACCAATCACGATTGACCATCGTGAACTATCATTAAGCCATCCTTAAATAATAGTGAGTCATAAGTTATCCCAATAGTGTGCTAATGTTTCTAAGCATGGCTAAGCAATCATAACTAATATCTAGCTGAACCAATATATAAAGCCCAACTAGTCAAGTTATAATAACCCAAGGTATCAAGGAATAAAGTAATCAATGCAAATTGGCCATAACAAAGGAATAAGTTCACACCACCCGGTGACATTCGAAAATAAATGCACAGTTGAAATAAATAGAGAATTTAAATATAGGATCAACATGCTCAAAGGATTGTGTTTAGGATCTGTGTGACTTGCCTTGCAATAATCGGTCTTCAAGTAATCTTCTTGATCACTTCCGACGCACTCACGAACCTTCGCAACGACGGAAACGACAAGCTAACACGCAAAACGAAGAAAAAGACTAATAAAAACCAAATAAACAGTACATATAAAGTAAACAAACATGTAGATCATGATTTTAGATGAATTTAGCAACTTGAACCACTCAAAACCGAGTTACGATGATTTAGTTATGAATTTCCGAAGATTTAATCTATTAGAACAACAGGAAAAAGAAAAACGATGATGACATCATGAGGACCTCATCAATGGCCGGACCAAGATGGCGACCTCGCCGGAGATTGGATGGTCGGCTGCGACTTTGGAGGACATGTACACGTAGAGGACGACGAGACGAACCCAACGGTACTCACCCTCGAACCAAACGACGAACGACGACGGCCGGCGACGAGGTCTAGCGGCGGCACGGCTTCGGTCGACGGCGGCGACGGGACTCCGGTGACCGGCGACAGCGGGGAGAGAGCGGCCGGGCTTCTCCACACCTCGGCGCACCTTACGGCGGTGACGGCGACCGGCGGCGACGACGGAGGCGGCGGCGCGACGCGGATGGAGCTCGGCCGGCGACGACGGCGGGGTGGAGCACGTGGCGGCGGCGCTACGAGGCACGGGAGACCACGGGAGAGGGGGCAAACGAAAGAGGAGGACTAGGGGGTCCTATTTATAGCCTTGGATTGAAGAGATCGGACTCCTCCCGCAAGAAATCGATCCGGGAAATCAAAAACTCGGTTTTGGAGATAAACTCGAAAACGAGTTCGATTCGGATAAAATACTCAACGATTTGCTCCGATTTTTGGGGGTAAAGATAGAGGAGGATAAGAGGAATATTTCCCCTCAACTAATTTTAGAAAAACACAAGGGAAAAGGTCAGATTTGGAGGGGAAAACCGCGGCTATACAGGTACTGTGCGGCTGGCTCGGGCTCTGTCTCCAGCCGGCTGGAGATTGAAGATGACACTGTAGCAGGGAGGCAAACTAGACTTTTTGCTGGGCTTCTACTTCTTGGCCCGATTGAAAAAGGGACACAAAGCAGACTTTGGAGGAGGGATAAGGCCAGCCGAAAGGAAGGGAGAATGGGCCGAGGATAGAAGCTGAACTTTTCCTATTTCGGCCCGAAAAGGAGAAGGGGATTTTAAATACTTTTCCAATTAAATTAATCACTGAAATGATCTTTGAATTGTTAAAAATACTTCCTATGCTCAAATAATTCCAAGAAAAATCTTGAAAATACTTGGACACTCAAAGTACTTAACAAAATTATAATTAGACCATTTAATGATTAATTTAATATGTGGGTAATTACTGAAATGCTCTTTGTAAGATTAAAATTAGGAATTGAGCTCCGAAAAATCCGAGAAAATTCCAGAGAGTATAATTAACCATGGAGAATTTAATAAAAATTAAATCCATCCATGCTTTATATTTAGGAAATTTTATTTCCCACATTTAACTTCACTTGTAAATTAATGAACATTTAATATAAATTCTATTATTAATTTATTAAATAATTTATAAATCCTGAAACGAAAATCAGGATGTGACAGGGAAGGTCATTGTGATGTTGGGAATGTGGAAAACTGGATGTGAGGGTAAACCGGACCAAGCGAGGCTTTGGGAATGTGGATGAATCCTCGCGGATTAATGACAACTTCAACTTAACGTTGTTTTTCATTTAAAACTGCTAGGTCTTAGGTTTGTGAACTGATTTGTGAAATCTAACTTTTTGCAAATAAACCAAGCCATCCTTTAACCCCCTGTGTGCACTAAATACATTCTGTAGTGGTGGCTTGCTGAGTACGGTTGGTACTCACCCTTGCTTAACTAAATCTTTTAGAAAGAAGTTGGAGTCGACCATTCGGGAACTAGCTGATGAAGAGATGTCGAAGACCGTGGAGCCGGGACCTAGGTGCACCAGTCGATGCCTGTGGAGTATGTTGGACCGCCGCTGCTTCGCTTCCGTTAGCTCATCTACTTCTTTGGATATTTGGTATTGTTTATGACCATGCTCGGTCTATTTGGGTCCTATTTAGGCTACCCTTCTATTATTAATGTACAGTTCAACCTGTATAATGATGTCAGCTTGAGATATTCAAGCGTGCCATGTGTGTACCATCTACTGATTTAGGAAATGGTACTGTAAGACACATGGGGTTTCTGGTGTGTAAAGCCGGGGGCCCACACGTGCTACTGTAAGACACATGGGGTTTCTCGTGTGTAAAGCTGGGGGCCCACACGTGCTAACTCCTAGGAGACGCTTTGTTCGATCACTCCTAGAGCGCCGGACGCACATGATAGTTCATATCCGGTCCATCTACTTAATTAACTGATATCAGCTCTAATTCATGCAATTTAATTAATTGTTGGACTCGTCTTCCATGGATTGATGGACAGAGTGCATAGGACAGGATAGGAAGACTACTGATTTTTTTTCATTTTTAAATTTTTATTTTTTTAATATTTACAGAAATATTATCGGCAAAAATATTTACAGAAACAGACCCTGCCACTCTCGGGGAGGGCGGCAAGGCGAATATATAAGTCAAATTTGTTTTTTTTCGTTGCGAGATGTAAAAGTTGAATTTGAACTTGTATATTTGTGAAGTGATATATCATATGTTAATACATCTTCTCAATTTTGTTTAATTTTTTTAAAAATCATTTGAGTGACATGTAAACAACGAGGGGGCATCCTCTCGAGGGATCAAAATAGTTTCCACTAGTAGAACGTGTTCCCCGACGTTTCATCGATCCATTTCAGCCATTGCGGATCCGAGGATGCTGGAACGGCTCTTTTCTTATGGGCAAAAACCAGGCCCATGAACCATCCATGCGAATGGCCTGGTTTTCTGTTTGAAACAAATATTGTAAGGATCTCAGATAACTTCCGTTCATTTCAATTGGACTCAAAATGAATTCTCAAAGTTTTATCTTCCTAAAGAACCACTTGTAAAAATATATATTAGAGCTTGTAACGAATATTTAGGCCATAAACAATTTCAAATGTAAAAAAATAATTTAACATAATGTTGATCTCATTGAGAGCTATACTTTTTTTTTGGGCAAATTTTGTCATCAATTAACTTCATATGAAAGAGTTACGACATTTTATCCTTAAAATATATTGCCGTTGTATTTAAGGTCTGTTCCTTAATAGAACCGCTCGTGAAAATCATTCTTTTACAAACCTTTTCCTTAAGAAAACACCTGTAAAACCTACAACATTTTTATAAGGAATAAGTTCACTTTGACTCCCTTAATAGTGACCCGAATCTAATCTATGACCCTAAACCATAAAACCGGAGGATATCTCGACCCCTGAACTATTGAAACCGGTGCAATTTGACTCTTAAGACGGTTTTGAAGGGCGGTTTTGCTGACGTGGCGGTATTGACCGGGTCTTCTTTATACGTGGCGTTGACGTGGCGCTTAAGTGGCATTAGAATTAAAATAAACTAGTTGATACCCCGCGCGTTGCGGCGGGATATTTGTATTGAAATAGAATTTAAAAATCCAAGTACACTTTGTGAGATAAAAAAAAATAAGCAAAGAAGGGAAACTGACGCAATACCAACTGCAGTCTGAAATTCTGGATGATAGTGGAGCAACTTTTGCAAGGAATAATCTGATAGCAATGCTTCACTTTGAGTGCATTGAGACCCCCTCATGTAAAACACCACAATAGTGCCTGACAGAAAATAGGAGTATATTGATCAAACGCTAGCTTCCAAATCTATGGGGGCAAGAAGAACAATACTGAAAATACTCAATGCAGTCCTTGTCTTACATATATATATATAGACACACACACACACACTACAGATGGAAGTTTGAAGATCATCATCATATCTAAAAAAACAGGATTCACCTAAGATACAAAGACATGATGCTACCTCAGAAGAGGAAATATGATTCATGAAAGATACAAAAGACATGATGCTACCTCAGAAGAGGAAATATAATTCATGAAAAGTTGATAAATTATGCAGTTTCTCAGTACATGAGGAAGATAAACATGTTATATGAATCAATGTAAGTTTGAGGTAAAATAAACTGTAACATATTTTAAGTTAATTTGAGAATTTTGAGATCATACTATTATGACTTAAATTGTGAACTCAGGTCAGGTAATATTTGGTAAACAAATCAAAGAAGACTGGGACCTATACAAACTGTAGCTGGCACTTACATTATTGATGGTTACTGAAAGAATTGCCAAAGCCATCTGAGCCATGGCTTCACTGAATCATGCTTACAGGGCTGACTAAAGGATCACCAAACTTTTGATAAGTTGGGAATTATCTGCAGTTATATTTCATCTTATCATTTAGTACTCCAAGTATACAAGATACATATAAAATCATTGAATCACTAAATGTCATTCAGTGATAGGAATTATTGATTCACTAAACATTGTTCAGTGATAGGAATTATCTGTAGGGATTCAGTGCAGCAAGTGTACTACTAAACTTTCCATGTAACATAATAGAATACTAAAACCTTAAAATACAAAGGTGCTTGATAGATGCAAGGTAACCAGAATAATCACAATATGACAAATAAATATGGAAAACAAAGGAGCATAATAATAGAAATTGTATAGTTAGGGGAAAAAGGATTATATTGTTACGTATTACCGTCAAAGAAATTTCCCCATAATAGTTCAACAACCTGGGTAAAACGGTTGTGGATTACTTAATCCAGTAATAAACCCAAGACGAAATCGAAGTAGTTAATCCTGTGAAGAAATTGAAGGGAATAATTAAACTGTTAGTGCAAATACTGTTATACAGGGAAAAAAGAAGGGACCAATTTGGGATACTGAAATCGGTTGGAAATTGATAATTGAATCACGAAGAAATTAGTGTGACTACACAATTAGCATCAAACAATATGTATTATAAAAAAATTTAGCTGAATGGGGAAAGAAGCTATGCTGGAACATGTGAGATCGGCAAGCAGTGGACAACCTAGAGCAGATCAATCCAAGGATGTGCTTGTATGGAGGAGAAGCTACTAGCTGGCCGAGCAGATTGATCCAGCTGCTGTGTACCACTTTTCTTCAGCTGTTGTGTGTATCATCATACATAAATAGGACGGGAAAGAAGGCCAGTATAAAGCAAGCGGCGACGTACTGTTTCAAAAAACTGAAGATGAATAGATGGGACTCGGGGATCGAACGGTTTCCGTTTCAGCGTGCGCCCAACGATGGTTCCCTTTCTCCATACAAGCCAAGGAGGCGAAGAGGCTGGGAGGCGGCTGCTGGGGGTGTGAGGCACCTGCGGCGCTAGGGTGCGACGTCGCAGGGCAGAGCGGGAGGGGCGACTGCAGCGCTGGGGGGAGGCGATGCGGCCATGGGGCGGAGGGTCCACCTGCTGCGCTGGGGGCATGACTCCGGCCCCGGAATCTTGATGGTGCGGGAGGCGATGCGATGGGGGGCGAAGACGGGCTAGGGGGAGGATCGGTGCGGGGGGAAGCGGAGGACAGCGAACATCCTAAGAAAGCGCAAAGGGAAGGGGAATCGACCGCATCCGCGGCGGGCCCGCCGCGCATCTCGCAGGGGACGGAGGAGAAGCGACCGCGAGCGCGTGCGGGGCGGAGAAGCGAGCGCGGGCCGGGGTGAAGGAGAAGGGAGGAGAAGCGACTGCATCTGGCGGTGGCAGCTGCGAGCGTCCAGATTACATCGAATGACTAAGATTTAACAGGTGACGTGGCTCAACCAGAAATCAGCTTTCGGTCTTAACTATATAGAAAGAAGGGATACGCGTGGGACCCATTAGTTATTCACATGAAAAGAAATGTGGGCCCACATGTCAGTCATCCCTGTCTCCTTCCTTCTTCCTCCTCGCTCTCTCCCTTCTCTCTCTTTCTCTCCCCTTCTTCTTCCCCTTTGGCCGTGCTTAACTCCGCGTCCGGGTTGGAATCCTTGGCGGCGGGTCCGGCCTACTCCCACCTACCGCCGTCCTTCGCCGCTTCCTCTGCCACCACTGCTGCGGGCTCGCCTTCACCACCCTAGCTTGCAGCGTCAGAGGAGGAGGGTGCAGGGACGTTGCCCGAGTGCCTGGAGACGCTACTGTCGACGCGCTTCTTCTTGGCGTGCGGGGCGCACCCGGCGTCGCCGCGAATGAGTGCCACATCTTCTGCCTCGATCCTCGACTACCCTTCCCCTTCCCCGCCCTTTTGCTACTACTGCCACTCCCACAGACACCAATCCCACCGTGTTATCCAGGTCTCCTCTTTCTCTTGTTTCATTCTATTGCAATTGCAATTGCAAACAACTTCCAGGAAGATTATTATCGATTTGGTTTTTGGTGCAGATACGGCGTTCTTCCTACAATGATGTGGTGCGGGTGACGGAGGTGGAGGATGTCCTCGACATCTCCGGCGTCCAGACCTACGTCATCAACAGCGCCAAGGTCCTCTTCCTCAACGAGCACCCCCAGCCACGCGACGCCAGCACCGTTGTCGGCGAGGCCGCCGCCTCCCCTTACAACTGCTAGATCTGCGCCCTCGACCTCCTCGACCCATTCCGCTTCTGCTCCCTTGGTTGCAAAGTTTTCATCCTTTTCTTTACTTTCACCTCAATTTCCGCTTCTTTATTTCTTCTCCTCTATATACAATGCCAATGCAGTTTGTTCTGCTCATCATTCTCAATCTCATCTACGATTACAAGTGGAGTACAATATTTTGTTTTCCATTTTCTTCTTTTTGTTCGTGTGTTATGTTGGGTCACGCCGGTCACGCTTAATCTGTTTTCTTGCTCCTCCGCCTGCGTGCAGCTGGTGGACACCAAGACGGGTGCCCGCGGGGCCACCGTGCAGGCCGACGAGGTGACCATGACGATGCCGCCGCCGGTGGCAGCAGCGAGAACTTTGGCGGCACCCTAGCTCGCCTTCGCTGCCTTAGCTTGCCTACCGCCACGCGCCACCAGCCGAAGGGGAAGAAGAAGGGGAGAGAAAGAGAGAGAAGTGGGAGAGCGAGGGAGGGCCCATGGCCCACATTTCTTTTGTGTGAATGACAAATGGGTCCCACACATATTTTTTTAATTCTAATGCCACTTAAGCGCCACATGTAAAAAAGACCCGGTCAATACCGCCACGTAGGCGCCACGTCAGCAAAACCGCCTAGGGAGTCAAATTGCACCGGTTTCAATAGTTTGGGGGGTCGAGATATCCGGTTTTGCGGTTTAGGGTCATGGATTATATTCGGGTCACTTTTAAGGGAGTCAAAGTGAACTTATTCCTTTTTATAAACTTATTCCTTGAGATTTCTGTAGACGGTTCCTTAGGAAAACTGTCCATGCAAGGAGGTTTCTCTAAGGATATGCATGTAAAAATATTTTCCACAAACATTACCCTGAGATGGCATTAGCCATTTTCACATACAGTTTTTTTTTACCGCCTTTGAAAAGGAAAGCATATGGCCTTCACAGATGATTTTTGTAATAGGGATTTTCCACCATTAGAATTAATTGACGTTCTGACGTTTAAATAAATTCATGCATGGATAGATATATGTGCTACATATTATATATATATATATATATATATATATATATATATATATATATATATATATATCTAAAATCATAGGATGTTAGTGAATATAGACGAAAAATGGAGGAGCCAAACGCCTTATAATATAGAACAGAGGAAGTAATTACTACTTCCTCCGTTTCACAATACAAGTCATTCTAGCATTTTCCACAATCACATCGATATTAATGAATCTAAATAGATATATATATATCTATATTCATTAACATTAATATGAATGTGGGAAATGCTAGAATGACTTACATTGTGAAACGGAGGGAGTACAAAATATCTCTTAAGTTTAGCCATATCATCAAATTATGTCAGCAATTTAATTAATGCGTCCATTTTATATCAGCATTTAGGATTGGTACTTCGATCTCTCTGTAACGGACACTACTTGAGAATTGATCTTTGCTGGGTTGGCTAAAAACTACATTAGTCTCGGTTCCTATTCTAACCGGAACTAAACATATTTTTTTTGTCAACCGGGACTAAAGATCATTTTTAGTCTCAGTTCACAAACATGTGAGTACTCCATTATCTTTAATCCCGGTTGTTATAGGCCCGGTTCACGAACATGTGAGTACTCCATTATCTTTAGTCCGGTTGTGAGTACTCCATTATGTTTAATATCAACCGGGACTAAAGATTCATATTTAGTCCCGGGTTTTATATGTTGGTTATAACAACCGGGACCAAGATTAAAAAAATCTCTACCCGAGCCGCGCGCCTCCTCATCTCACTCCTCCTCTCCCAGCCTCGATCTTATCTCTCCCAGCGTGCCTCCTCCTCTCCCAGTCTCGATCTTATCTCCTCCCCCTCCCCTCCCCTCCCCTCCTCTCCCTCTTCCTCTCCCCATTTTCTCTCCTCCCCTTCCTCCACTTCCCCTCACCTGCGGGTGGCGGCTCCCACCCTCTCCCCTCCGACGCAGGTGGGCGGCGCACGAGGGAAAGGTGGGCCGGCAGAAGCAGCCGCGGTGGCAGCCGGGCGCCGGCTAGGCAGCGGTCCGATGGAAGTCGATCGGGAGGCCGCGCACGGCCGGTGGATCTGTGGACTTCCGGTGGATCTGTGGACTTTTTTTTATTTTGTGAATGATGATTTGTAGATGCTGTAAAAATTTTTATATTTGTGAATGATTTGTGGATTTGTGGATGGGCATGTATTGTGGATTATTTTGTGAATGATTTGCAGATTTGTGGATGGGAATATATTGTGGATGATTTTGTTGTGTATGATCTATGGGGATTTGGGGTGATGGTACTGAAATCAATAGATGCAAGCAACAAAAAAAACAATAAGATAAAAGAAAAAACTAACAATGAAAAAAAGAAAAACTCTAGTCCCTGTTTGTAACTCCAACTAGGACTAAATATTATAGTCTCGGTTGGTGTTATACACCTGGACTAAAAATAAATCTTTAGTCCCGGTTATTTTAACCAGAGTTGGACGTCCCGGTTTACAACCTGCGATTGAAGGGGTTGTAAACTGGGAGTAGAGAGCCTTTTTCCAGCGGCAAGAATTTCTAAATTATCATGCTACAACGCGTAGGGTGTCCACTGGTTTTAATTACAACTTCGCCACAGCTTTTAGGTACATGCATGCACTGTAACTGAACTTTACAGCATCCAACCAGAAACAAATCCTACCTTGGGCCCGTGGTTTAAACTAGCTGGTTCGCAATAGTTACACCTTCAGAGAAACGATAACATTGATTTATCTTCGTATGGTCTATGGAAGGGTTTGTACAAGTGCTCAGGCTATTGGTATGTCCAAAATTAACCTAAAATTGTGCCCATGGTTAACTTCTCGTTACCAGTGGCTTCACCCGATGGAATAATTAACCACTCACAAGCTAGAAAAAACATTTTCATGCTTGCCTACTCATGCACCACAAAGCTTGGTGACCGAACTAGTTATCTATAATTTTATCTAGAGGAATCAAAATCAGCACGTATGCACTAACACAAGCATCACAAAAAGGTAGCAAGCTTACGGGTATAAATGGAGCCATGAAGCCTGCTACTTTGCATGCACATTCAGATAGATCATATCAGACAAGTAAATCTAGCTTGCTGTAAACACAGTTAGTTCGTAATTATCGCATAGGGCCATGGGGAAGTACAGTGTGGGTCTCGTGGTTTTAGGGTTGCTGGCCCTTGCGTTTTCGACCACTGTGCTGGCTGAAACACATGTTGTTGGTGACTCCAACGGTTGGGACTTCTCTGTGTCGTTTGATAGCTGGGCTGATGGAAAGGTCTTCGCTGCTGGTGACACTCTTGGTATACACAGAGACAGTCTCGCTCTATATATCTTCTCTCTTTATACTACTACCTCCTTCCCTAAATGTTTGACGCCGTTGATTTTTTTAAATATATTTGACCATTCGTCTTATTCAAAAACTTTTGTGAAATATGTAAAACTATATGTATACATAAAAATATATTTAACAATGAATCAAATGGTAGGAAAAGAATTAATAATTGCTTAAATTTTTTGAATAAGACGAACGGTCAAACATATTTTAAAAAGTTAACGGTGTCAAACATTTAGGGATGGAGGGAGTATATATAATTCTCGATGATATATATATCTTTTCCGCTCTACATAGCTGATCAGCATAAGTAACGTTTTTCAAGCCAGTTATATCAGTTAAAACGAGTGCAAATTAATAGTTTCTTATATTATGTCTTGTTGCCAACACATGCGTCCATATACATCTAAGACGCTTTCTTTTAGTTGCTATAAGTTATGCCAGAAGGTTGCAATGGTGAAATCATGGTTGTATGACTTCACACATCAGAATTTAAATTCCCATGTCCATGAATATAACCGCGTGCATATTTAGTTGTTACGGAGATCGGAAGTTACACTTCCCTTTCTGTAAAGAACAAAAATATATCACTCATCGTCCTGACTACACTGCTGTCTGCTCTCTGCACATATATATATATATATATGCATGCAGTTTTCAACTACAAACCGGGCGCACACAACGTGCTGGCCGTGGACGCGGCGACGTACAGGAGCTGCAAGGTGGGCAGCTCGGCGGACTCGGTGGCGGCGGCGACGGGGACCGCGTCGTTCCTCCTCAAGAAGGGCGTCAACTACTACATCTGCGGCGTCCCCGGCCACTGCGCCGCCGGGATGAAACTCCGGGTCGTCGCCAACTGATGAAACTCCGGCGACAGATCAATCCCTTAATTAATTAAAACTATGTGGGTGTCTCTGCAGCCTGAAGCAGCATATAGCTTGCTCGGTTTAGGGATTGGTCGCGTATATATAGTTGTAATTGTAGCCCTATGTACTGGAGTGGCTGACACTGGGTCTGTCATGCTCCTGCATCTGCATGCGTGCATGGCTGCATGCTATATATCAGCTTTGTGCGTTCTAAATAATGGCCCGAATGTGCACCTGTGTGGCTGTGTGGCTGTTTGTTGGAACTTGGAAGTACTTATATATAATATATAGTTCCCTTCTATGGATGGAGATTCACAAAATAAAATTTAATAATTGTTTATTTCTTATGTGTTGGTTTTGCTTTGATGTTACCTGATTGTTTTGGAAGGTAGCCCGCGCATTCGCACGAACGTGCTTGTTCTAATTTGGTTTAAAAAAACAGGTATAACAAAATAAGTTTCAATAAAGTGAGGTATTGCCCTTCTTAATTGTGTTCACACACACCATCCTGCTATCTCTTTTTTTTTAATTTATCAAATATGTATATCTTATATTGTGTTTCTTATATGTAGGACCCTATAATATTTTTAAGAAAAATACCTAGTCAATGAGTCTTAAAATAAAATTTTGGTAGGAAATTTCTAATCATATCATTATAAGAAATGCTATTGATTTTTTATTGACACCTTAGAGGCTTGTACATGCAAGTAGCGTGGAATTTAGTGAATTTGTTTAATTATCATTGGCATTCGTCTCTTATATTCATTCGCTAACGATATAATGAATATGATCTTTAACCATATATTTAGTCATAAATAATCTAACGATATAAACAGATAAAATAGCAATTTTGATGTTATAATTTTTTTAATCATCAACTGTGCTCATGTATTGTGCTTTCTAACTAATATTGTATAAAAATAGGAATAAGAGAGGGAAAGAAACAGAAAGAGAGGAGGCGTAGAGGTGGACCAAGGAACCAAGGATAAGCACATAAATACTTACGACTCCATGTACAGTGCTGGTAGGGAGTGGAATTTGGAAGATAAGTCTTTTAAATGAAAAAGGAACAGTCTTTTAAGTCTTTTAGAGATTAGAGATTGATCCAATGGTTAAAAATATTAGGTCCACTGGATTGAATGAAAAATCAAGGTGACCAAGGTCCCAATTGGCTCTGGGGCCAGACACACCCTCGTCCTCATAAATCATGCATGCTTCACTTGTTGGAGCATAGTTATGTACAAAATCTACATTTTAAGGTGTTAAACGTGGTGTGTCTAGCCCCCCGGGTCTGTGTAGGCTGAGCGGATCTCTCCTAAGGGTAGCGAAGCTTATAAGAAATACATCTTAATAATGATTGGAAAAGATAGATTTGGGGCCGGTCCATTCAGTGACTCTGGGCCCACTTTTGCCAACATATGTATCACCCTTCTTGGTTAAAGAGGAGGTTGAAACATATAAAATCTACAATGACTAAAAACTCTTCCAGATGACTAAAAACTCTTCTAGAAAGAACCTTGAACGACTTATGTCCTGATAAGCAAAGGTCTTTCTCGGACCTAGCCCTGTCCTAGGACCCGGGCTCACTTTTGCCCTTGTAAGTCCTACAATGAGGAGCGTGGAGAACTACAAGATATATATCTTCAGAATATGAGGAGAGGTCTGCCTCGGACCTGGCCCTATCTCAGGTCCTGGAGTGAGGAGACCTATAAGATATACATCTTAAGAATATATGCAGAGGTCTGCCTTGGACCTGGCCCTGTCTCGGGTCCTGGGCTCGCCTATGCCCTTGTAAATCCCGCAATCCTCATTGAGAGGAGTGTGGAGACCTACGAGTTATACATATTAAGAATATAAGCAGAGGTCTACTTTGGACCCAGCCCTATCCTAGGTCCCGGGCTCACCTTTGCCCTTATAAGTCCCACGTCGCTGAGTGAGAGGAGCGTGGAGACCTATAAGATATACAACCAAAGAATATAAGCAAAGTTCTGCCTCGGACCCGGCCCTGTCCGAGGACCCAGGCACCTTTGCCTTGTAAGTCACACTTTCCTCAGTGAGAGGAGCATGGAGACATATAAGATATACATCTATTCATCAAAAACATCTTCAACAAGCTCGTCTAAAAATAGCATAACTACCTTTTCGGGGATGTGGGGGCACGACCCCAGAGTGGGTTGGGATGACGAGCGTACTTCACACCTGTCACGCCCAGAAATTCACTAGTAATTTCCGAACTAATGTGTATTAAAATCCTCGTCCAGGAATCAGCCGAGGTACACAAACTGATAATTTAATATACAGATTCATCAAAATAACTAAAATAATAAATACTTACATAAGAGGCACTTAGTCCTCACCACGAAGAAAACTGCAGCGGAAAATAAAATCTAGCGAAGCTCCGGCTCCACTCCCACAGGCAAGCTCAACTGGGGTATAAGCCAAACGTCTTCTCCTTCGCAACTTGTCTTCAACTAAGGTTTAATTGATTATTGCAAGGTGAGTACATGGAATACTCTGCAAGCCACACAACTATGCAAGTGCACAAAGATACCACAGAATGGCATAATATAGGGCTCATTTACAAAAGCAGTATTTAGCAAACACTTGAGAATTGTAAAATAATAGAGTAATTAATCATCAATATTAATCAACACTGAACAGCACACCCATGCTGCACAGGTCCAACCAATCTTGAACAACCATACCAGGTTGTACAGATCTATCTCCAAATCAGAAATGTACCATTCCAAACCAGGAATGTACCATTCTAAACCAGGAGCTAATCAAATTATTACCAGTTATAGCATCATTTATTATGGTGAGAAGTGTGAGACTAATCACAAAAGACATTATTAGACTCGCCCATAACCGTGGGCACGGCTATTCGAATAGTTTTACTCTGGACAGGGATGTACCACTGTACCCACAAGATACAGCCCCACAACATGTCACCATGCGCCTCAATACCACCACGGTACCTCGGAAAGGAGTTGTGACACTACCCCTCGCATAACACAATCCACCACAGCGCACCGTTCCTTGATCATAATCACCCCCTTATAAAATAAGGCATGGGCTCCCAGCGACCCCCGTGGGCTTATCTCCGCTACTTCTCAATCTGGTGCCCTGCAGTGAACCATGCTATACAAAAGGTAAAGCCGTTGCCCATGCTGGCTAGTGGTTGGCACGATTAATGTTTTACAACCGAAACTCGTGAAACGGTGCTTAATTGTCATGAGCACGACCATCAAAACCATGTGCTCACAACCCACCATTAGCAAGTTTTAATTCGCAATTAATTAATTAACCAATCATGATTGACCACCGTGAGCTACAATTAAATATCCATCATTAGGTAATAGTGAGAAGGTGCTCGCGGGGAGGGCGTTTCCGGCGACGGCGAAGGACAGGACTTGAGGGGAAAGGTAGAGGACGACTAGGGGGTACTTTATATAGGCACGGGAGGGAGCTCGGGTCCGGGCCCAGATCGACGAGAAAAACTCGGGAAAGTTTAGGATCTTCGCCGGAGAAAGGAAAGATTGATCCGCGAAATTGGAAAGGATTTATATAGAAACTATTGGGGATTTTTTGGTGAAATTGTAGAGGAGATTGAGAGGATTCCATTCCCGCAACTAATTTAGAAAGAGGAGCAACGGGAAGGTCGGAATTGGGAAGGAGATCGGCACGGCTGCACAGGCTTGGGACGGCTCGGGCTCTGTCTGGAGGTTGAAGATAGAGTACTGTAGCGCCAGGGAGGCAAAGAAGACTTCGGCTGGGCTTCCTTTTCCTCGGCCCGATTGAAGGAGGGAACGAAACTGGACTTGGGGAAAGAGAGGGAGAGGGCTGCAGGCCGAGAGGAAGTGAGAGGACTTTTCCTAATTCGGCCCGAAAAGGAAAAGTTGATTTCAATTACTTTTCTAATTAAATTAATCACTGAAATGATCTTTCAATTGTTAAAAATAATTCCAATGCTCAAATAATTTGAAGAAAAATCCTGAAAATAACTGGGCACTCAAAGTATTTAAAAAAATTGAATCCAGCTCATTTAACGATTAATTTAATATGTGAATAATTACTGAAATATTCTTTGTATTATTAAAATTAGGAATTGATCTCTGAAAAATCCGAGAAAATTTCGGAGAGTATAATTAATCATGGAGAATTTAATATTGTCATGATTACGGATAAGGTATACCCTATACTCTTGGATATACGTCGTACACTGATATAGCATACCTGCGCGTATACAGACGTTCTGTGTACACGCTAAGGAAATCCATCACGGAGTCCACAGATGGAAGGAGTCCTACTCAGATAGAACTGGGTCGTCATTATATTGTGTAGGGTCCGATGTCTCTGAGTCCTACTTGGAGACCAACTAACCTGCGGTATAAAAGGGACCCCGGGAGGACCTAAGGGATCGAATCTTACCGCCAACACAACCACCACAGCCTACGAAGTGGAGCCTTCAGGAGCTAAGTCGCCGGGGTGATCTAGTCGAGCCAACTTGACTACGGTCTCATCGGTATCATCGAGTTCTGCTATTCCCTTTGTAATCTGTGGTTTCCACTATATAATCCCATATCAACTAGATTAGGGCTATTACCTATCAAGGGGCCTGGACCAGTATAATCCTTGTTTCCTGTTTGCTTGATGTCGTACTACGTAGATCGTCGTACCAGCGTACCCCAATACCCTCCATATCCGGTCTATGGGTATCCCCCGTCGACAGTGGCACGCCAGGTAGGGGCTTTTGGTACTCAAGGTTCTACTACTATGTCGTCAAGCTTCATCGACAACAGCGTCAACACCGGCATCAACCAAGGAGTTTCTACTTCAACAATGCTGGTGTGGACCCAAGTCGGCGAAATTGTTTTCTCGATTTACACCAGGGTGCTGATCTCGACTGGTCCACCAATGACCGGAAGCGAGAACGTCATGGTTAAAACCCTAGGCGACTCCATGTCGAAGGATCCTCCCATAGAAGTGGAGAACGGAACATCGACGACATCTGAGCCCGAGCAAGATCCTAGTATGGCCAAATCTTGTCCTTCCGACAAGAATCACGAGCCGACAAGGATAACTTCCGAGGCGACAAGGTCCTGGTGTCCTATCCACAAAACCAGGAAACACACCTTGCAAGCTTGTTGGGTTTTTCTCGATGTACAAGCTAAGATCCGTGCCTGCAAAGAGCATGGAATTCAACGTACTTTTCTAACTCGTGATGTCTATTGTCCTATCCACAAGACAAAGAATCACGACCTCTCAAGCTGCAAGGTTCTTCTCAGCGCCATGAAGACGTCGCCTCCTAAGATCCAGAAGTCAAAAAATCTCTCTTAG